ACTTTGTGACATTCATTTGCTTACTACGTGTGAAAATCTGTGAATGATCCACAGAGGTCACATGGTACAAGGCTATTCCACAACAGCCTTATAACCATGTGACAAGTTGTTGACCAATCACGAGCTCACTCAGTAGTTCTCAATGGCTGCGAGAAATTATTGCTTTTTTACAGCCTATTGGTTGTAAAAGCATGATTGCTCATGATTTCTCTCCTCCCCTGATCAGCGGTGTTCCCTGCAGTACACACCCCCGCCCCCTAGTAAAACACTCCCCTCACACAGTTAAAAACCCTTTCCCTGAATAATAATAAACGTAACTCCCTCCTCCCCAGTGCCATTAAGTACAGTGTCAGTGTTTTTTTTTTTTGGACTGATCACTGTATTGGTGTCACTGGGGATGTTTAGGTGTCACTGGGGATGTCAGTGACCCCAAGTCAGTACCCCCCAATGTCAGAAGGTCCGCCGCAGTCCTGCCATAAGTCGCTGATCGCCGCCATAAGTCACTGATCGCCGCCATAAAAGTTCGCTGATCGCCTACATTATTAGTATAAAAAAAAAACTAAAAATCCCAGTATCTTTCCCGCCATTTGTAAACGCTATAACTTCACAGTAAACCAATTAATTTACACGTATTGGGGTTTTGTTTTAGCAAAAGACATGTCGCAGAATGCAATTTTGGCAAAAATTTATGACTAAATTTGATTTTTAACATTTTTTTTTACTGGACATGTTTTATTGCAAAACGTACAAAATATTGTTTTTTTTCCTCAAAATTGTCCCTGTCAGCCTTTTTTTTTATAGCGCAAAAAATAAAAAATCGCACAGGCGATCAAATACCACCGCCGAAAGAATTTTGTGTAGATTTGTGTAGATTTAAATTTAAGTACCGTATTGCATGACCGTGCAATTGTCCATTAAACTAGCGCAGCGCTGTATAGCAAAAAAATGGGGTAAGTTGCAGTATCTATACCATAGTTTGTAGACTATAACTTTCACACAAAGCAATCAATATACACTTATTGGGATTTTTTTTTACCAAAAACATGTAGCAGAATACATTTTGGACTAAATTTATAACCAACTTTGAGTTTACTATATATTTTTTATAGCTGAAAGTAAAAAATATGTTTTTCTTCAAAATTTTTGGCCTTTTTTTTGTTTATAGCGTGAAAAATTAAAAGTGCACATGTGATCAAATACCACCGAAAGAAAGCTCTATTTGTGTGAAAAAAAGGACGTAAATTTTGTTTGGGTGCATTTAAGGGGGGGTAAATCCTTTGGAGGTCAAGTGGTTAATGCATGTTTTCACTACTAAAATACTGCATGATTAATAAAATATCAGTTTTGTGCACCAATTCACAAAAAGAACATTGGGGAACTGGGGAAAGTAAAGAGAAGGGTAACCAAACTGATAAAAGGCATGGAGGAGCTCAGCTATGAGGAAAGATTAGAGGAACTGAATTTATTCTCTCTTGAGAACAGGAGATTAAGGGGGGATATGATCAACATGTATAAATACATCAGTGGTTCATATAGTGAACTCGGTGTAGAGTTATTCACCCAGAGAAGGTCATCACAGAGGACAAGAGTGCATTCTTTACGTCTGGAGAAAAGAGATTTAATCTCCAAACAGGGAAAGGTTTCTTAACAGTAAGAGCTGTGAAAATGTGGAATAGATTCCCTCAAGAGTTGGTTCTGGCCAGCTCAGTGGATTGCTTCAAAAAAGGCCCTGGATTCTTTCTTAGATACACAGAATATAACTGGATACTAACATTTATAGGTAAAGTTGATCCAGGGAATATCCAATTGCCTCTTGGAAGATCAGGAAGGAATTTTTTCCCCAGCAGGAGCAAATTGGATCATGCTTTGCTGGGTTTTTTTGCCTTCCTCTGGATCAACTGTGGGTACGGGATTAGAACTCTTTTTTTTTTAATGGTTAAATTGGATGGACTTTTGTATTTTTTTTCAGCCAGACTAACTATGTAACTATGGATGAAGACGCATTTGGGCACCTTTTACCAGCAGCAATGTCATTCTGGGGGAGGGTAGTGTTAGATATACTAGCAGATTTAAATACGCTAAAAAATTGAAGCCAAACTCCAGAAAATACTAATAAGTAGTTACAGCAAACGTTTTTTTCCTTTAGGGATAAAAGTTTTACAAGAATTAAAAAAAAAAGCTGATCATTGTAAGCAACCGTTAGTGTTAAATGGTTTGTCTAATCTCTGCAACTAAAACATCTGAAGGAGAGCTTGTTCTTTAACAAAAACTACAGACTTACTGGTTAGATTACCAGGTGAAAAATAGAAGAAAGAAACCCTAAAACAGAAAATGAAGGCAGCCATCACATCTAAGAATTGGTTAGCTGCAATGTAATAAGTGCTTGCTCTTGGGTTTGTTACCACTTTAAGCAACCCGAGACTGCATAGTTTTTTCCCTATCCTAGAATCACCATTTAGATATTTTTATATCGTGATCATGTTTCCTCTTAAGTTTCTTTCTCCAGGGAAAATACATTTAATTTGTATAGCCGTTCCTCCAGCTCCTCCATATGAGCTTTGTTGCCCTTGTCTGGATTCTCTCTCCAGTTCAAGCACATCTTTCCTGAGGACTGCTGACCAGAACTGGATGGCATACTCAAGATGCGGCCGAACCAGACAGTTTTATACAATTTTTTAGGGCAAAACCATGAAATATGTTATAGTGTGGTCAGTTTAAATTATCTTTATATTTCCAAAGCCAGCTAACAACATGAAGCATTGTACAGACTTAGTGTTTTATGGCACCCACGCTGTTTCCTTTGGACTAAAATTGAAATAGATTGTTGTTTATTGCAAATCATCCCTGAGAAAATATCAGTTTCTGAAATCACAATTCTTGGCCTTTAATGCAAGCTACAATGAGACACTTGAACATGAAATGGCATAACAGAATAATTTAATATAATGAGATAGATTTTATGTCAGTCACAGAGAAAACATTGATGTTGTATCATGTGGTGGTAAGATTGTGTATTGGATGTGAAAAAAATATAGAAACATGAGCTTTTTGGGGGGAATCTGCATTTTGTATGGAAATTATTCTAGCATTTTATTAAAGACAGTATCCATTTGAGCCAGTGTTGACCCTTAACCTTGGCAAGAAGATGAATATAAAGAGAAAATAATTCCTTCAAAACACATTGATTTAGGTTGTTTATTGTAATTCTAAGAGCTGAGACACACATTTTTCTTATTGACTTAATTCTTTTTCCGCTGACTTTTCAAGGTTAAAGTAGCTTTGGTTTTCTAATAGATAACCACTGCTTTTCATTTTATTTGACTTTTTTCTTTTTAAAAATCTTGATGTCTTTCCTAAGTGTAGAACATTATTTTTAATGCCTTTTCTCCAGGTTTCCATGTAGGGAGTTCAGATTAAATCCTATGTGCCAGTCTGCATAGTTTGACTTGTTAAATTACATTCTAGTGCCTTAAAGTTTAACTAAAGGCAAAACATTCTTTAGTTCTGGATAGATTGGAGGTGGATTAGAACACCAGTTATGTTTTTAGTGCAGTCTGTGCCCCCCACCAAATTCACCTAGTGCAGTCTATGCCCCCCTTATCAGATGCACCTAGTGCAGTCTGTGCCCCCCATCAGATTCACCTAGTGCAGTCTGTGCCCCCCCTATCAGATTCACTAGTGCTCTGTGCCCCCCTATCAGATTCACCTAGTGCAGTCTGTGCCCCCCCATCAGATTCACCTAGTGCAGTCTGTGCCCCCCCTATCAGATTCACCTAGTGCAGTCTGTGCCCCCCCATCAGATTCACCTAGTGCAGTCTGTGCCCCCCCCCTATCAGATTCACATAGTGCAGTCTGTGATTCACCCCCCCCCATCAGATTCACCTAGTGCAGTCTGTGACCCCTTCAGATTCACCTAGTGCAGTCTGTGCCCTCCAACAGATTCTCTATTTGTCCTGTTTATCATAATCATTGAAAGTGAAAGTAAAAGAAACCCCACATTTTGAGCTGTCCCCAGAAGGGTAATAGAGGGAACATTTTGCAATGGGAAAGCTAGTCCTGCTGGACCGGGGGGCAAGATTATTCCCTTCATTTGCAGGGATTTTCTCTCACGTCCTGTTTTGGCTATGGGGCAGGAAGTGAAGGAATATCTCCCCAGTGGGACACAGATGGAAAAAATTAAACTGACAGGTGCTATAACCCTCTGTTATTCTATCCAAAATAGAAAACAGAAATGCTTATAGTTCAACTTAAAAGCGTGTGTGTGTGTGTGTGTGCGTGTGTGTGTGCGCGCGTGCATCAATATATGTTTTTCTTTGCAGCATATGGACAAAGGAGGCAACAGCCTTAGGCCCATCAGTTTAAGAGACTCGCCAAGGGGATAGAAATGAGGACTGGGAAGAGCTTCTCACTTGAACTACATATAAATGCATTCAGGCTACTGCCCGCTCCACCCTATCTTCCAGTCATGTATATGCTACTGGCTATACACACCCCCACCCGCCAAGGGGTGAAGGCAAACTTTCTACTCTTCCTGGAGTCCTCTATCAAGTGACTTATCACATGATTGGCAGGAACAAGCAAAAGTTTATCTCAACTCCTTAGAAGGCACCTGCTCTGACTGCAAGTCTGTTTTTTGGACACTGGCAATTAAATGGCTAGAAGAGAGGACAACAACCTAAATGTATATGGTTTTTCTTAAATATTGCCAAAGTCTCAAGTTTGAACGTTATTAAAGATCTGAAAGTTTCCTAAATCTTTCAAGGCAAAGTTGGTGTTTTTACTTCTTAGGGCTATTGTGACACTGTGAAATATAGTATTTCTATGCCACCATTTTCATTACAGATGCATAAACCTTTGGTTTACAACTAGAGATGAGCGAAGTATTCAAAAATTCGATTCGGCTGATTCGCCGAATTCGCGGAATAAATTCGATTCAAGTCGAATATATTCGCTGCGAATTTAACTTATAAAAAAGGGTGTTTCTAGGCTTCAGAGAGCCTTTATATTAGTGCAGAACGCTGTACCTTTAATTTAAATGCCCTTGGAGTCTGCTGGGGAAGAGAAATAATACTGTCAGTCAGTATGACATGCAGATGAGTGCCGTCGATCTTAGAATCACCGCACACTTCACTCATTTGGGCAGTCACGGGGCCAAAACCAGAGTGTGGAGCCACAGTGTGGCGGTGGAGGCAGCAGCAATGGGAGGCCATACAGCACCCTATGACAAAATGGAACCCACCAGCAGTGTGAGGAGACCTGAAAGTGGCACGTGGCAGAGTGTGGCGATGGAGACAGCAGCAATGGGAGGCCGTACAGGGACCCATGACACACTCTGGACCTGGCAGCAGCATGAGGAGGCGGTACAGGGGCCCATGACAGATTACGGGCCTGGCAGCAGCATGAGGAGTCGGTACGGGGGCCCGAGGCAGATTACGGGCCTGGCAGCAGCAATGGGAGGCCATACAGCACCCTATGACAAAATGGAACCCACCAGCAGTGTGAGGAGACCTGAAAGTGGCACATGGCAGAGTGTGGCGATGGAGACAGCAGCAATGGGAGGCCGTACAGGGACCCATGACACACTCTGGACCTGGCAGCAGCATGAGGAGGCGGTACAGGGCCCATGACAGATTACGGGCCTGGCAGCAGCATGAGGAGTCGGTACGGGGGCCCGTGGCAGATTACGGGCCTGGCAGCAGCAATGGGAGGCCATACAGCACCCTATGACAAAATGGAACCCACCAGCAGTGTGAGGAGACCTGAAAGTGGCACATGGCAGAGTGTGGCGATGGAGACAGCAGCAATGGGAGGCCGTACAGGGACCCATGACACACTCTGGACCTGGCAGCAGCATGAGGAGGCGGTACAGGGGCCCATGACAGATTACGGGCCTGGCAGCAGCATGAGGAGTCGGTACGGGGGCCCATGGCAGATTACGGGCCTGGCAGCAGCAATGGGAGGCCCGTAATCTGCCAGCACCCTATGACAAAATGGAACCCACCAGCAGTGTGAGGAGACCTGAAAGTGGCACATGGCAGAGTGTGGCGATGGAGACAGCAGCAATGGGAGGCCGTACAGGGACCCATGAGAGACTCTGGACCTGGCAGCAGCATGAGGAGGCGGTACAGGGGCCCATGACAGATTACACTGTTCAGCAGGTAAAAAGTTTTGGGCATAAAATTAGCTAATCTTAAATAATTTGGGGTGCTGAAAACGAAAATGACCCTAAAAAATGTTGATTGGCTCTAGTTTCCATGATATATTCACCCATCTAATGACGTAAGCCATTCAAAATTATGATGCAACTTCAGCTGCATATTGCGCAATTGATACTGGTGACCAATAGAAAATTGCATGTATACTGAGATGATGCAATATTAGCCTTTATTGCATCACTTCACTGCATAAAAGCTGCAGTATCTGTAGCTGATTGTAGTTCGACAGCGTCTTTACATTTCGTTTTATGCTTATATAGGCTACTCAGTAATGCCTCGAACTTGTGTGAATAAAGCAGATAATTTCTGCTATATCTGCGGTGAAATAACTTTTATCTCACAAAAAAGGAGGATAACAGGAATGATTAAGAAAGCCTACAACTTGAGGACAAGAGCTGGGCACCACATATATGCAGCAAATCTTGTGGGACGGCACTAGAGCAATGGTTGAATGGAAAAAAGGCATCTATGCCTTTCGCTGTGCCAATGATTTGGAGAGAGCCAACAGATCATGTTAGTAATTGTTACTTTTGTTTACAAACGATTTTATTGTACATGAGTAGACAGTAAAACAACAGCACACTTTAAAAGTGATATTGTCAGCAAAAACAAGGCACTTTTGAAAAGTACAATACATAAAAGTATATTAACATAACAAAGAAGATAAGAAAAAAAGAGGAAGTTACAAGTGCATGAAGTACGTAAACGACAAAGTAGGTTAGGTGATACACCTGTCAATAGTACATGCCAGCCAACTTTTACTGGGGATGTTATTAAGCATGTAATAAGTGTCTGCAATCTCTCCATGACTCCCATTTTTTATCGTATAAGTGCATCTTATCCAGTAGGGTATAATGAATGCGTTCCATAAGCATTACAGTGTCAATTCTGTGTAAAACGGAGTCCAAGGGTACAACATTGGACCTCCAATGTAGGGCAATAGACCATAAAGTGGCAATACATAATGTGTGTATCAATCTCAGATTGGCATCAGAGACCCCTGGGATATGGGCCCCCAATAAACAGGTCTGCATGGACAATCGTATCGGGGCACCCGACAATAAGGCAGCGACCTCAGAAATCCTACGCCAGATCAAAGATATGGTCGGGCAATCCCAAAATATATGAACCAAAGTACCCGTGCAGTCACAGCCCCGAAAACAAAGAGGGGACGTTTGTGGAAACAGTACATGTAGTCTTGACGGGGTATAATACCATCTGGTTAGAACCTTAAGGGCCGTCTCACGAACCGAAAGAGATCTAGAGCTCTTGCATATATTATCCACCATGGAATCCCAATCCTCATCCGAAAAAGTGACGCCACAATCCTCCTCCCATTTTCGTCTGTACAAAGGGGGAGCATGAAAAAGACAGATCAAAAATTGGTGATAAAGATTTGAGATAAGACCCCTACCCCTGGGAGAGTCACGGCTGATACGTTCAAAAAAGGAAATCGGAGAGGATGGGGTAAGGCCAAAGTGCGCCTTAAAAAAGTGCCTAATCTGTCTATAACGAAGGTACTCACGAAGAGGAACATCAAAAACACGCGCAGCATATCAAAGGTAATATAAGATCCTCCTCTTTGGAAATCAGATAATCTGATAAAAGATCGATCATACCACCAACGAAACATATGAGGGGAAGAAAAGGCTACAACAAAAGTAGGATCCCCAAAAAATGACACACCTGGGGGAATAGGAGAGACTAAACCCAATTTAGATTTGTGTTTGGACCAAAGCGTCAGTGAGTGAGTCACTATGGAGTTATGAAAAACAGTCGATCGGGGGGAGATGTTAGACCATAAAATTCCCGGTAAATAAAAAGGGCGTATCGACTGAGACTCAAACTTGATCCACGGGATTTGAGAGTTAATAGTAGCCCATTGTGACAATTGCGCAAAACGAGCCGAGAGATAATATAGCCAAAAGTTAGGAAGACCGAGACCCCCCGACCGTTGTGAGCGATACAAAATGGATGAGGCAAAACGTGGATGCTTATTTCCCCAAATAAAATTATTAATAGTCCGCTGAAAATGATCCAAAAACGTTTTTGAGACCGGAACTGGAAGTGCTCTAAAAAGATAAAGCAATTTGGGCAAAATATTCATTTTAACCGCCGTGACTCTACCCAGAAAGGAGATATGATAACCATGCCAGATCTTCAGTAGAGTAGAGAGACGCGATACACATGGTGGATAATTAGCCGCAAATATATCCGAGTATCTGGGAGTGAGGTTAATCCCCAGATAGGATATCCTGTCCTTGACCCAGCGAAATGGGAAAGAACTACGGAGAGATGCACTTAGGGAGTCAGGAACATTAACAGGCATGACCACAGATTTGGTAAAATTAACGGTGAGACCTGACACTTTGGCAAAATCGTTCAATACAGCACACAAGTTAGGTAAAGAAGTCAGCGGGTTAGTAATAAAAAGCATAACATCATCAGCATACATGCTCAGCTTAAAATGTGAAACTAATAATGAATAGCCAGAAATATCCGAATGTGATTTAATCGCCAATGCCAAAGGTTCCAACACCAGCGCAAATAAAAGGGGTGAAAGAGGACAGCCCTGGCGGGTACCTCTACCCAATGTAAAGAAGTCAGAGTTACAGCCAGGAAGCCTAATTCTCGTTTTAGGAGAGTCATACAGGGCATGTATGCCTGCCAAAAACCCCTCACTGAAGCCCATTTTCTGTAGCAAGGAGAACAAGTAGGGCCAAAGAACACTATCAAAGGCCTTGTTTATATCCAAACTCATCAACAGAACCTCTTTGGAATGTAAATTGGCGTCTTGAATAACATTTAGAGTGAGACGAATGTTATCAGTAATAAATCTGTCGGGAATAAAACCCGACTGGTCTGGAGAGAAACCAAAGAGGAGATGATAGGGGCCAACCGGTCCGCCAAAATACGGCTAAATATCTTTAGATCATTATTCATGACTGAGATTGGTCTATAGTTTTGTGGCAAACAGTGGTCCTTCTGTGGCTTGGGTATTAGAGACATGTTAGCCAATAACATCTCCTCAGGGAACTTACCCCCCTGCAAAACATCATTAAATAAAGTTATCAAGTATGGAGCCAATGTAGAGGCAAAATGTTTATAATAGCTAGCGGTAAATCCGTCAGGACCCGGCGCAGTAGAGCGCTTGAGCGCGCCTATCGCACATGTTATTTCCTCTAAAGTACAGGGGGCATTAAGAGTGACAATCTGAGAGGGTGTAAGGGCAGGGAGGGGTATAGAGTCCAGCCAAGAGTCCGACAGAGGGACAGAATCCGACTGCGGAGGAGCTAGTAGTTTAGAATAAAAATGTTCGAAAATACCCAAGACTTCCTGAGGTAGAGATGAGATAGCACCCGAATTTGTGTGCGTAATTTATACACGTGTGGGGGGCGCAGAGAGTGGTTCAACTTCCTTGCGAACATGGTAGATGCCGAGTTACTATGTAATAGGAATGAGGCCTTCGACCAGCGAAGGGCCTTTTCAGTTTTTTGGGAAAGCAGGGCATTCAGTTCCAAGCGCTTTTGGGACAGTAGCTGTTTATTAAGTAGAGATGGATTAGCGACATGGCTTCTATAGTGTGCTTCTAATTCTCGGGTTAGAAGTAGTATTTGCTGCCAACGTTTTCTATTTCTGGATGGATGAGGCCATGGAGATAAGTCGGCCTCGTAGGACCGCCTTGTGGGCTACCCAGAGTGTGGCTGGGGAAATATCAGGGGTTAAATTAGATTGAAAATATTCCTGAATAGATGTAACCACTTCCTGGCGAGAGTCAATATCGGTTAGCATAGAGTCATTAAGTCTCCAAGAGAAGGGAGTAGGTGCCAATCCCACAAATGTGATAGATAAGGCCACAATACTGTGATCCGACCAGGGGCTCAAATGAATGCAAGCTACCCTAGAATTAGCTAGTAAAATCGGGGTACAATATATATAGTCTAATCTAGCATAAGAGTCATGTGGGTGGGAATAAAATGTGTAATCCCTGGCTCCGGTGTTGTGCGCTCTCCAGGCATCCACCAACTGGAGGGTATCTAATTTCTTAGTAAGGGATTTTGGGAAAGCCTGGGAAGAATGCGAGGGGGAACTACGGTCCCAAAAGAGGATTTGCCACCAGATTAAAATCCCCACCCACCAAGAGATGAGGAGACAAAAACCTATCCAGAGTACCAAAAAATTTTGAAAAAAAGGTAGCTTGTGCTGAATTCGGTGCATATACATTAGCAATAGTAAGTTCTCGACCTGAAAGGGTGCCTTTAAGAATGATAAACCTACTGTCCGGATCACGATACACATGTTGAACCTCAAAGGGGAATGAGTTATGTAGAAAGATGGCTACGCCCCTACTCTTGGAGGAATGCAGGGTATATAATACCCCTGCCTATAAGATCTATGAAAATATGTCGGGTGTTTTGCAGCTGCAAAATGTGTTTCCTGTAATAAGATAATCTTGGCTCCCAGTCGTTTATATTGAAGAAAGGCCGTTTTGCGCTTGTTTGGCGAATTGAAACCCTGGACATTATGCGAAATACATTGAATTACCATAGTAAACAGAGCTTATTACTATCATCATAAAAGTACACATTACAAGGATATCCCCTAAAATTAATTGGCTAGACATAGAAATCCGCAGGTCTATAGCAGACAGACGTACAGGTGGCAGAACCAGCCCAGGGGACCCCCCGGCCCCAACATGGGGGCCATGATGTCCACAGACCGACACAACACCATCCTCATGCACTAAAGTGTTGAAAAAAAAAAGAAGACAAAAAACAATAGAGAGGAGATTTGAAGAGCTCCTACAAATAAAGGGTAACTGAAGAACATGGATCAGGCTGAAAATTTGTCATACCTGATAAAACAAAAAGTTCAAAATATTAAGGGGCCAAATGGGCCCAAACCCTGTCTCCCTAAAACA